CGCTCCTTGTTCTCTCTCTCCTTCCCCTACCTGTGTGGGAGAGGATGGTGAGCACTGTTGTCACTGGTTTAGTTGCTGATCCAGAGTCAAACTGTGACAGAAAGTTTTTGCAGGGAAAGATGATTCTAAGTGGAGATCTTAACATCAGGTTTTTTAGTGGCATGTTTGGAGATGCCAGCTTCACCACACCTAAAAGCTACTACACTGTTACTTCTACACCAAGAGAATTCCAACACCTGGTGCTCACCAGGGAGAACTGAACAAATTCCCTGAACTATCCACACTTTGCACTATTTTTTAATTTTCTTTTAAACTTCATGATAACTTAATAATTTTTTCCTCTAGATCAAGCAAATATATTTGTACCTACCGTGTTTTTGATTGGAATGTGTAGAAGGAGATGCACTGTCTTCTGGCTTAGAATCCATAACACTTACTGATCTGACCTAAGGGAATAAACAAAAATCAATAAATGCATGTCTGACAGGACAAGAAATAATGGAGTTAACCTGTACAAAATTAATGTACAGTAATAGCTGAAAAAAGTCTTGTCAACCACTTCTCTCCAAAAATGAAATAAAAGTTTTGTAACTGTATCTGTGTATTTGATATTAGCAATAAATACATAAAACTTAATACTTGCCATCTGAGCCAGTGTAGCAGTTCTTAAAGTGAAAGACAACAAGGAGTACACAGAATTTTTTAAAAGTATTTTTTGAATTGGTTGAGAAGTGTCCAAATGAGTGCTCAAGAGGTTTGGGGGATTGCAGCCAAATCATTCCAGTATTTTGTGGTTTACACGGGTGAGCTCTAGGCCCAGGGATACTCAACATTTTACCAGTGGATCTGAGAATGAATGTAAAAATCAGTACTAATAAAATTCACAAATGACAAGTGATGAAGCTGTGAATTATAAGGTTGGAATGGTAACCCAGAGCAACCTCAGTAACATTCCTTCAAAGAAAAGTAGCATTAGCACAGGCCAATGCACAGTGATAAAACCATCTTTATGGAAGAGGCATCCATCCAGGAAGTCACGAAAGGCTTGGGGGCACAGTGAGCAATTAGCTGATCACACAAGAACATGTTTTGTCAAATGCTTAAAGAAAAGCAGCTTAAAATTTAACCTATAGGGTATCAAGCAGCTGTACAAAAAAAAAAAGAAAAAAAAAGCAGCCAAGCATACACCTTGCTTATGAAAAGGAAGGCTGAGAAAGGATTTGATGTAAGCAATTTGAAGGGTGCTTTAAAAAGAACAGGAACAGATTATCAGAGAAAAAGTTTTCAGATTGCAATGTGTATTAACCTCTGTCTGGGTCCTGCACTTGGGCCACAACAACCCCAGGCAACGCTCCAGGCTAGGGGAGGTGTGGCTGGAACTTGTCTGGCAGAAAAGGACCTGGGGCTTCTAATCGACAAGCAGCTGAACACGAGCCAGCAGTGTGCCCAGGTGGCCAAGAAAGCCAATGGCATCCTGGCCTGTATTAGAAATAGTGTGACCAGCAGAAGTAGAGAGGTGATTGTCCCCCTGTACTCAGCACTGGTGAGGCCACACCTGGAGTGTTGCGTCCAGTTTTGGGCACCTCAATTCAAGAGAGATCTTGAGGTGCTGGAGCGAGTACAGAGGAGGGCAACAAAGCTGGTGAAGGGCCTAGAGAATAAATCTTATGAAGAACACTTGAAGGAGGATCTAAGAGGCCTAAGGATTCATTCTAACCACAGGCTTCAAAGACTAAATCCATTCCTTCCAAAAGTTAAATGAAAGTATTTTACCTTTGTTTCCTCTGGTGTACCAAACATCTCTGTGACTCCACCATAGTCCACTTCAGAATCAGAACATTTCTGCCTGGGTTCTGCCAGGAGTCTTTGCAGACCCACAAAATCATCCACTGCTTGATACTTTTCTCTTGGAGTCTTCACTAGTCTACTAATACCAAACATATCTTCTATGGGTTCAACCTTTTCCTTTGGTGTCTTGAAAATACGGCTGACCCCAACCATGTCTTCTACTGGTTGAGACTTCACCCTTGGAGTTCTCTTGATGAAAGTAACACCTGCTACATCTTTTACTGCTTCCTTTTCTTGCACTGGAGTTTTCTGCAGTCTTCTAAAGGCAAGTTCATCTGTAACAGCTCCCAGCTCTTGCTGTGGGGTTCTAAATAGCTGCTTTGTGCCTGACAGGACCTCAACAGGCTCTGGCTTTTGCTTTGGGGTCTTCATGAGCTGCTTGATGCCTGACAGGACCTCAACAGGCTCTGGCTTCTGCTTTGGGGTCTTCATGAGCTGCTTGATGCCTGATAGGACCTCAACAGGCTCTGGCTTTTGCTTTGGGGTCTTCATGAGCTGCTTGATGCCTGATAGGACCTCAACAGTCTCTGGCTTCTGCTTTGGGGTCTTCATGAGCTGCTTGATGCCTGATAGGACCTCAACAGGCTCTGGCTTCTGCTTTGGAGTCTTCATGAGCTGCTTGATGCCTGATAGGACCTCAACAGGCTCTGGCTTCTGCTTTGGGGTCTTCATGAGCTGCTTGATGCCTGATAGGACCTCAACAGGTTCTGGCTTCTGCTTTGGAGTCTTCATGAGCTGCTTGATGCCTGATAGGACCTCAACAGGCTCTGGCTTCTGCTTTGGGGTCTTCACGAGCTGCTTGATGCCTGATAAGGCCTTTACCAGTTCCGGTCTTTGCTCTGGGGTCCTTAAAAGCTGCTTAGTGCCTGACATGACCTCAGCTGGCTCCAACTTCTGTTTTGAAGTCCTCCTTTTTCTTCTTGACATCATTTGAGATGCTTCTTTTTCTGGAATTCTTGACAAACTATCCCCACTACCAATTTCTTCCAGCATAGTTTTTCTTTTTTCAGGAGTTTTTGTGGATACTGCATCAAACATAGACTTGAGAGACTCGTTCTCTCTCAGTAAGTGATAAATGCTTGGACTATCTTGTTCCTGTTCTGCAGCATCTGAACTATTTAATGGTGACACCATCATCTCTCCTGAAACAAGCAGCAGATTGATGTAATTTGCAAAAAGAATTCAGCAGAAAATCCAAGCATTCTAATTGCTGTATAACTAAGTAAAATGGATTCAAACATCTGGAGCCTTCCAAAAATGTGCATCAACAATTGCCTTGATAATTAGCTTCTACAAGACAGAGCATAAATTTTAATAATTGTCTATAAAAATTAACTATTCTTTCCTATTTACTCTGATGTGAAAGTTTTCTGTTGTCCCAAAAATTTCCAGTGGTGCAAGTTTTTAATTGCAATTTCTTCTGTGCTCTGAAGCAATACCAGCCACAAATCAGAAATCTGCACACTAAAGAACATACATTTGACTTTTCTGACAAGAAAAAATAAATTACAAGATATTTTTGTAAAATTTGTATCATAGAATAGCACAATTTGGAATAGACCCATAAGGATCAGAGTTCAACTCCCTGCTCCTCACAGGTCTGCCTAAAACTAAACCATAAGAACTAGTGTTCTCCAGACATTCCTTGGACTCTGGCAGACTTGGTGCCCTGACCACTTCCTTAGGAAACCTCTTCAAGTGATTAAGCACCTTATCAGTCCCTTTTCCTCATGTTGCCAGATGTTCTATCTCAAAACATCAGGTCTGCTCAGGCTTAGACTACACACTGTCTCAAGCAGCGGACACACTTCTACCTCTAAATATACCTAAACATTTCCTTTCTTTTCAGGTAACAAAACATACCAGATTCCTCAGGAGTCTGCAACTCAGAAATATCCACTGCATTACACGTTGGTGTAGAATCAGTCTTCTCAACAGTGGCCAAAGAGAACGTATTCCCACTCTTATTTTCTGGAGTTTGGAACATTTCAGTCATTCCTATAAATTATATTCAGAGAAATGAGGATATGCTTTGACAGAAGAACTACACAACTGGCAAAGTGAGCTACAGCCTTTAAAAACTTACCTGTGAAACTTTCATCCATATTCCTGTTTAACTTCAAGACAGGATTTTTTACCACTTTAGGCACCTGTCCAGTTGTTCTTACTCTGGTGGCATAAGCTCTACCTACAACTATTGTATCAGGTGACTCTGCATGACCTGTACTGATGTGACCTTTGATTTTTTTTTCTGGAGTCTGAACAAGAAGGAAAAAAAAAATAAAATTGTTAGTAACCAAAGATCCCTTTTACGCAAAATCTGTATTTCTTATGAACTGTGACAAAGACATCAACACTTGGTATCATGCTAAAAGCTCACCAGCTTCCAGGTTCTGTAGCAGAACACCTACAAGCTGTTTTGTGGTTGTGCAGAAACAAAAAGGAATACCTTTGGTGCCCGAGTTGTCTTCTTGAGGGGTCTTCTTTTTCGGACACTTCTTTTAACAGCCTTTGACTGTGGTCTTGCAACACCTGATTTTACCACTTCTGCCCAAGATTTTGCAACTAGAAAGAAAAAGAGAAATAACCATTTTAATTCTCAGCTGTATAAAGGGAATTTCATGATTTGATTTTATTCCAGCAGATTTGCTGCAGTCAGACACAAGGAAGTCCTTATGGTGTCATCAGACAACACCTATACCTAAGTGCCTTATGAAACGCTTTCAGTTGGAAGACTCAATTTCAGCTGAAGTTGATCAAGGGCCCAATTACCTGACATGGCCATTTCCACCAAAAAACAACAACAAAAAGCTTCACACAGTGTCAAACAGATGTTAGATCCTAGAACTGAGGGCTGATCCAATTGTGTCCTCTCTATTTGTAGGGAAATAATTTTTCCCAATAGAAACTTGCCAGAAGCCCTTCAGTCTCCTTCATTATACTGGAACTTTTCCCTGGTGGGGCAAGAGATTTCAACATCAGAGGAATGGCTTCTCAGCAAAACATATCCAGCTTTTCTTTTTCACCACCTCCCAAGGAATGTTGTAGCCAAGAAATCACTTATTTATACTGCTTACAGCACTTAGATCTACACAGATATTCCCTATTTTCTTTTTCTTATATCACCTTCTCCCTATAACATACTCTGAAAATTCCTAAAGCAAGGTTATCTTTACCACATCATCATTCTCTGTTCAGAAGAATAGGGGAATTGGTTACAGCTCTGGAATAAACGAAGCTGTAAGGTGGAAGGACATCTGCCCTGTTTACTTGAGAAATAGGCTATGAGAAGACAAGCATCCTATAAAAGAAACAATTGTGGGTTTTTTGTTAAAAAAAAATAGGGGAATGCTGTTCCTGAAGGATGCTATTCTCTTGTCAGAATTGCTGTGCAAGTTGGGGAAAGTCTGTAAATAAAAAACTTTCAGAAGCTGTCATTGCTAGGGTAATCAGAATAGGCAGAAAAATGCCAAGGATGCAAAAAATTACCTGAAAAAGCATTGGAAACACAGTTTTAATTTGGATGCAAAGTAGACACCCAAAATTAATAAGAACTATGGTGTGCTTTTCATATTCAAGAAGAAACTGCTGCACTGATATCAAAAACGACTTACACATTTCAGAGAGGTGGTGAAAAAAGGTATGGTTTTTTTAAGTGTTCTGGTGCCATGAAAATGGACAGAGCCACCAAAACCACTGAAAAAAATAACCTAATTATTTCACTAGAAGAATAATGCCACTTCCAGCTGTAATAATCAGGAAGTATTGTGATTTTATCTCATCATGTAATAATAATAATGATCATAATAATGTCCCATCATTGGGACATTGTGTAGTATGTTGTTCAAAACCATAAACAAACAATGGAGACAGTAAAGAGTAATCAACATCCCTGGGTGACTGGTGGTGTTAGTGGGAAACTTTAAATTTGAAAGTGTCAAAATTAAGTCAATTTATGAAAACAGATGACAAAGACACTTTATCTGTAAGTTTCCTCAAAGATAAAAATGTCATGAGCCAGGGTTCTCCTATCAATGCTTCTGATGCTGTAAAAACTACCTCAAACCAGTGTTCAATGTTTAAATACAACAGTTCAACTTCCAAAATATTCCAAATGACACCCAGTTATCCTATTTTTCGTTATGTATGTTATATATAACTGTCAGCAGTTCAGGGCAATCCAGTCCATGCACAAATGTTGTGAATTGTGTATAAAAACAAGGCACGAAACCCAAACTGAAGCTCAACTGCTTAGACAGTGCAGGTTTTCAAATGAAATTGATAAAACTGACAAACTTTTATTTAGTTCAGTACTACTTGAACTCGAAGGACTTGGATGATCACTACTGCAACTAAACTTGGAAAGAGAACCTTATTTCTAGCATTTTTCAACTTCTGAACAAGAAGATTTTTGCTTTAGATACAGGGTTATTCATACTTTAGTAATATGCTTTATGAATATGAGAAAATGTAACACTTTGCAGTCACAGTGGTTCACAGCAAGTCCAACCACCATCAGAAGATCATTTGGTGGCCTCTGCATAACAAAATAATAGGCCTTCTTCAGTTTTGGTCCTGTATTTTAAAGAAGGAAAAATCATATTAAAAATTAGCTGCTGAAACAAACCTAGCAAATTGGCACTAGAGGCACCACTTCTTCTTTTTGCATTAATAGCTGCTACGGCCCCGCTCCTCCTCTTCGTGGGAGTGGCCTTCAAAGCAAGTTGTGCACTTCTGGTTAATTTGTCAGGTGTAGCCACTGAAAAGGTTTTATCATCTTGGTTAACATTAGAAGATTTGGGTGTCTTCACTCGGGCACTGTTTCTCTCCTTTGCATTCACAGCATCTGCACCAGCCTCCTTCTCTTCTGCAATTGGAGATGGGGTCGTGATACGAGCAACAGAGTAACGTCCTTTTGCAAAAGGTGCTGGAGAGCCCAAAGGAAATTCAGGTCTTGCCTTCCCAGAGGAGGGAGATGAGGCAGCTGGGGACTTCTGGGCTAATATTTTTTTTGGTGACATTTTTTTCTTCTGCAAATGTTCAGAAAGTTCCTGGTAGAAAAAAGAAAAAAATACATAAAGCTAAAATGTGACTAGATATGACTGAGCTGCAAATGCTCGTCTGCATCTGGCAAGTAAATACAACAATATAAAATATCATCAGATCATTTGCAAAAGCCTTTAAAGGTATTCTCTGAAAACAAACTTGTAACAAGTTTAAAATGTCAAAGCAGTCTCAAAAGACACATGCAAATTCAATTGAATAAGTTAAGTGAACTTATGATTCCACTTCATTCAAAAGTTTTGTTCACAACAATTACATTACACGCATTTTCAGTGGTTTAAATCAACAGCAAATGTTTTCAAGCTTCTAGCCAACCCATGTGGCAGCAGCTGGCACAGTTTGCCAACAAACTACTGTTCTGTTTTCTGTTATTTATGGTAAACTGCAACTTTTAAACACTGGTGCTAAACACAAACATGCAGAAACATACTCCTGCATATGCACGAGAATGAGCAATAGATGTGAGGTAAATAAACACACATCTCCTGTAGAAAGGTAGATCTAAATGGTAAGGTGAGCCCCTTCCTACAGTGGAGAAGAAAATGCCCATTTAAATGTGATTCTTTCAAATATCTTTTTAATTTGCAATGAATTACAATTTCCACTTCCCAACATAGATCTAACAAGGTTTATTACTAATTGCTCATTAATTTTTAGAAGTCTTAGAATTTATAAAATCTGTTCCCATTATCTTAGGCACTTGGTTAGTCTCAACACTTACCTGGACTGCAAAGTGCTTCAGGCCCTGAACTTTTTTCAGAACAGCACGTGGTGAGTTTCCATAGGGCAAGCTGAGCCTGGCAGGAATTGCTCCTTTTTTAAGGGGGGAGTTGGGAGGCAAACTTTTATCAAAAAGTTCTGGACTCAGGTGACCACCAAAGGACACCCTCTTTCTTTTCCCCGAAGACTGAAGTAGCAAATCACCACTCTTCCTCTTCTGGGATACCCTTTTTCTCTTGCCTAAAAGTAAGAATTGAAAATATTTCTATATATCACAGAATCCAAATCAATATTTTAACCAGCACAGAAAGCAGTGCTTACTCATGCACTTTAAAGTCAGAAACATATCAGAAGGCAACTTACCTTCAAGCAAAATAGACTCAATTGGGTAAACTTTTTCACATCTTGTGTATTTTTATTGTCTATATAACGCCATGATAAATATTTTAGAGCTGTTATGTCAGCAACGAGTTCTGTATTTTATGCAAGTGAAAAAATTCTTATAAAAACAATGAGGGAGAGGATTAAATATATTTACCTGATTCTTCCTCAGCCAGTGGGCCAGAAATACCAATTTCTGTGACAGTCTCATTGTCTTTCAGTTCAGTAGCACTACCAGAAGACCTTCTCTTTGAGGACAATCTATGAGGTCTTGTAATGCTGGGATCTTCCAAATGCTGTGTCTGATGATCCCCCTTTATGGGCAGCTCCTCATGACTTCCACTCTCTTCTCTGGCTGTACTCTTGTTGTCATGCTCTGCAACAGCACTTGTCTCCAATGTTTTTTCAGCTGGCAGTCCAGAGGTCCTTGGCCTGCCCCTCTTTCTTCCAGAGCCAGATTTCTGACTAGCAGGAGATGCCACTTTTGATGTTACCTCATCTGAAGCCAGTGTCTCTGAAAGGACACTTTTGTTTGCTAATTCTTTACTTCGCCTGCTGTTTCTTCTGGGACTCTTGGAGTTAGAGGCAGGAGTTTCAGGATGTCCATCTTTTGAGTTAGCAAGGTTTGCCTGATCACAAGTTGCTTTCAGCACATCTTCTTTTACAGGCTTTCCTGGTGTGTGCAGTGTACTATTTCGCCTTTGTTTTAAGCATTTTTCTGCCAAAGGTGGTTCTTGGAGGCCATCATTTCTGCAGACTGCATCTTCTCTTTGACCTTCAGCTAAAGCTCCTGAAAAAGACTTACGTTTGAATGACATACGTTGTCCAGTTTTTGGAGTATCAGGATTTCCAGGAGCCACTCCTCTAGGTTCTTTGGAAGGTGATACAAAATGAGAACGAGGACTCTTCCTTCTGGGTGCTGGTTCAGACAGAACATATTTCTCTGCTTCAGAAGCATTTGTTATGTCTGTTGTTTGTCCTGGTTTATCTGCTGTTAGTGCAGAGCTGTAGATTTTCACTATATCCGGACAGTCCAGGCGTTCAATGGAGCACTGCCTCAGGGAAAATGCTGCATTTCCACCATTCTGTGCACTGGGTTTGGTTGGATCTTCAGTCCCTGTAGATTCCCCTGCTGTACTTAGTTCCTTAAGTCCTTGCAAGTGATTCATTTTACTAATATATCTTGAGACAGAAACTCGAGGAGTTCTGGTAAAACTCTTCTTGGCAGAACTTCCCACAGGTGAGAACCGGTTAAATTCTGAAATGATGACATCTGTTACTTTACCTGCTTCAGTATTTTCACTTCTACCTATTTCTTTTTCTTTCATCAGGCTTCCCAGAGCACAACCACATCTGGATGACAAAATCTGAGCAATTTGTTCTAGCACAACACTCTTTCCATCTTCTTTTGCGTAAAACTCTTCTTGGCAGAACTTCCCACAGGTGAGAACCGGTTAAATTCTGAAATGATGACATCTGTTACTTTACCTGCTTCAGTATTTTCACTTCTACCTATTTCTTTTTCTTTCATCAGGCTTCCCAGAGCACAACCACATCTGGATGACAAAATCTGAGCACTTGGTTCTAGCACAACGCTCTTTCCATCTTCTTTTGCACCTCGTTGAGATTTTTTCACTTGAAAGTCATGCTTCAGTTTGTCATACAGCTGACTAAAAGGAGACTTTTCATATTGTATTTTAGTAGATTGCTGGATTTTGCATGAAGATTTGGGTGTTTGTAGTTTGACAGGTAAAGCTTTGGAAATACTTTCCTCTGTACTTTGTTTATTTTCATTGCCTTTGTTTTCTTCACGCTCAGCATTATCTACAAAGGAAAAAAAACAAAGCACAACAAAAAGCAACAGATTCAGATACAGATAAATATTCCTTCCTTTTCCCTCCTAAGACAATCTACCAGAGTCTAGGATACTGTGAATAAAGTTCTGTTATCAATAACAATTTCTCTCATAATAGAAGCACTACTATTGAAATGTTTGATGTATATTTTCAATTGTAATCTGGAATTTATTCCATATTCAGGTAAGGTATTTGGTACTTCATGATTCTATTTTTCTTCTGAATCAATGGCTCATGGACACCTTTTTCCAGGGCTGCCACAAGACAAATATGGAAACACAGAATTACCCAACCATTTAGTTGGGCTTGCCACAGTTCAGCCTGGTTTTTGGCAGGGGTTTGCATGCATTGCATGAAGTGTGGCAGTGCTTCCTTAGGGTAAAGCCAGACAATAAAGCAAAGCCACCACTTCCCAGGTGAGACAGCAAGTTACTGCACATGTGCTGCCACCCCACTGCAACCTGCAGAGTGCATCCAAGGAGGCTGGAGGCAGGATGTTCCACTTGGCCTTTCACATGAGGGGCACACACCAGCTAGCAGAGCTCATCTGGTAAGAGGAGCCTTCTCTGGCCACAAGCTGTGACCTTGTGTACTTTCATACATCTACAAGGTCTGATGTATCTTTTGTAGATACAAATGTTGATACATGCTGACTTTCCTTAATCATGATGAGAAATAAAGCATGTGAAGATGAAGGCAGAGTCCTGACATACATGGAAAAGCTGCCAATTATCTCCCAGCAAAGGGAAAAAGGGGTGGAAGAGGGGAAGGAGAGACATGGGTAAGACCAGGAAATCAGATCTTTTCTGTGAAGCTTTTACCCAACCACAGACACGTACACCAGTATTATTTTTTACCAAGCTGTGGGAAACTGTTCTTCCTCACGTAAGTCTAAACAAAATGCCTTTTAAGCCAGCAAAGGCCTTCTCCTGATTATTGCCAGCTAACAGACTAAAACAGACTTGCTACTCAAGGACAACTAAAACCAAAACAACAGGGACAGAAAGGATGGGTGACCAACTAAGGAACCGCCACACACACACACACTCCTCTCCTCATACTTGCACACACAGAGTGACTTCTTAAGGAGGACTGATGTCGGTCTTCTTCCCTCCTCCCTTTGGTCCTCAACCCTCTCTTGGAGAGAAAAGCACAGTACCTTTTCAATTACCTCCCTAAAGAGCACATTCTTACTGTATATATGTATATATATCCCTGGTAGCCATTTAGTTATATTTTCCCTAAACATCATCCTTCAGCTGGTGTTAACCCTTAATAAACCAATTAATTCCTGAAGTAAACATTGGTCTCAGCAGCAATTTGAGTGTGGTGGGGAGTGCATTCTATCTATCACTCTAAAACATGGTCCCGAAGTGGCTGTTCCTCCGTGAGAGGTGAGACCACGTGTGACCCTCGGGCTTATTCACAAACCCCTCCACATGGGGGAAAGGAAGTCACAGAAGCACCTGACAACCTGGTAGCCCCCCAATATCAGCTCACAACACAAACTGACAAGCTGTTCCAAGTGACAGAACAGTGAAGTGACTGTTGTATTGCAGGACGGTGTGGGGGAACCTGTCACCGGATTCCTATGACTAGAGATGTGCTCACAACCCCCCAGTGAAATGGTAACGCTTGCAAACATGCCGAGTGTTCTGCACCGAGACAAACGTTTGTCACAAAAATCAAACCTGCCTGTAGATAAATAGCATCCATCTGACAAATCTTGTCACTTCCCATTAAAATTTGCATTACTTAACAAGGATGAGAAGGTGAAGGCCTGGCATTTAACCAGTCTGTGGTCTAGATTTTTACTAGGCCTACATGAAACAGCCATTGTAAACTGTTTCAATCGGTACAATTAAGCCTTGCTATGTATCCCCAAAATGATACCTGTTCCAGTGTCTTATTAGGGAAGAATACACGAGGTAACTCAGTATTTGCCCAAAGGGATCCAGCTGTACTGTTTGGTCAGCACAGAACAGAAATTTTAATATTAACCACAAAAAAGTGAATGTGCCATGATGTACCAGATGCTGCTGATAAGTAAAATGGAGCGGACAATTGTTTCACCTGCCAGTTCACTCTATTAGTGCATTGCATTGGCAAAACTGGTGTACTCAACTCCCTTCTTTATTGAACTCCCTTCTTAGCTATGATCTTCAAACACTGCATTTGCACAAATCACCTCAAGCATTACATATGGATTTTGACAATTCCAGGCTAACTGTTAATGTCCATTTGAAATTAAACTGATTTCTTCTGGCAGGATTTGGCTTTGGAAAATGACAGTATCTAAGCATGATGAGACAGTACACTGACATAACAAGGTGTACTGCCCACAGTCTGGAGAGTCTTAAGATGTTTCATAAAATGGGTACCAACCTGAAGCATGAAGACTTTTAGATCCTGGAGTTTGTTTGTATAATT